CGGTGACTTCCCCGAAGTAGCCCGATTAAATACAAACTGAAGATATGGTAAGCTCTCATCACAAGTCTTGGGGTGCCTAGAATTGTATCCTCTTAACATGTGTACCATAGTCCGATTAACTACCTCTGTTTGTCCGTTTATTTGTGAATGAAAGGTCGTGCTCTTCTTCAATCTAGTGTCAAGCTCCACAAAGAATCCCAAAAGTGCCCGAGAAACCACTATCTCGATCTGAAATAATCGAATTTGACAACCCAAAGTGCTTCCACACATGTTCAAAGAACAATTACACTACACCCACTCCCGTCACGATCTTCTTACAAGGAAACAAGATCACCATCTTGCTGAACTGGTCCACCACAACGAACAAATAATCATGCCCGCGCTTGGTCGTCGACAATCCTCCTAAAAATTCATAGAAATACTCTCCCACGGTCTCGAAGGTACCGACAATGGTAGATACAATCCTCATTTCCGATTAGAAGGCTTCGATATACAACGTAGCTTACACCCTTCAATATACTTAGTAACGTCCTCCAACAGTTTTAGCCAAAAGACACGACGCCGTAGATTGAGAACCGTCTTCTGAATCCCAAAATAACCTTGCACACGTGATGTATGTGCTTCTCGAATCCACTGCAATCAGTCGTCATCCCACGAAATGCAAAGCGCGTTCCTCGATACAACAAATCATCTTCACTAATCTCATACTCCTCGTCGACCAGCCTTCGCCTGCTCGAACACACTGCTGAAGTCTCTGCTAGATGTGTACATTTGTACATACTCCAAAGGAACCAAGGGCTAGATGCACGTCGCCACCAAGAGAGCCCTCACGGGTGGACGAGATAACATATCGGCTAACTTGTTCGTCGCCCCCTTCTTGTACCTAATGATGATGTTAAACGTCATCAAATAGGACATCCACTTCATGTGTCATGCCTGCTGCAGCTTTGTCTGGGCATGTAAAAACTCTAATGGCTTATAGTCTGAGTGCACAACCACCTCCTTTCCCAACAAATACACCCACCAATGCTTGATTACCTGATAAAGTGCATAAAACTCCTTGTTGTAGGTGGGGTAGTTCTGAATAGCACCCGTGAACATCTTTGAATGGTACTCCACCGGCTTCCCATGTTGTATCAACACAATGCCCATAGCATAACTAGAAGCGTCAGTCTCAACCTCGAAGGTCCTCTATAAATTCGATAATGCCTACACCGGTGCCTCTGATATCTTCCTCTTTAGTAACTAAAAAGCTTCCTCATGCATCCTCCCCCACTCAAACTGAACATTCACCTTCATAAGGCCATGCAAAGGTGCCGCATAAGTCAAAAAATACTGAATGAACTTGCGCAAATACTGGCAAGCTCCCATGAAACTTCTCACCTCCGTCACTGTCCTAGGTGTTGGCCACTTTGTGATCACTGTCACCTTACTTGGATCTATCCTCTGCTGGCCCTTCCCCACGATGAAGCTAAGACACACCAACTCGTCCTTCCCAAATTCGTATTTTTTCCCATTGAGCTTCAGTTGTCCGTTCTGTAGCACTTCAAACACCTTCTCGACATGAACAAGATGCTCCTCACAGGTCCTGTTGTACACCAAGATATCATTGAGGTAAACAATCACAAAATCCACTATAAAGGGTCGCAACAAATCATTCATAAGTTTCATAAAGGTAGCCGGAGCATTGCACAATCCAAACGACATCACCAACCACTCGAACAGGCCATGTTTAGTCTTGAACAAAGTCTTCCGAGTGTCATCCTCCTGAATTCTCACCTGATGGTAACCAGACTTCAAATTCAACATCGTGAAGAACCTCGCTCCCTCCAACTGGTCCATAAGATCATCAATCCTAGGTAATGGGTAGCGATTATTGATGGTTATCTTGTTGAGCGCCCGATAATCCACGCACATATGCTAACCTCCATCCTTTTTAAGCACAAACAATACCGGTGACCCGCAAGGTGAACAACTCGACACAATCACTCCTGTCTCCAAAAGCTCCTGAACCTGCCTCTTGATCTCCTCAGACTCCTCTACAGATGTGCGGTATAGACCTATATTCGGTAAGGAACTCTCACCGGTCAACATAATCTCATGCTCCACACCTCATCGCGGTGGTAGTCCCGTGATCTCCGAAAACAAGTCAGTGTACTTGGTCTTCAACCTGTCAAGATCTCTCTCCTGAAGCTTGCTCAAGGTAGTCAAGCAAACCCTACTCAGCTGCTCCTCATAAAGCCTAATGAATAACAATTCAAACTTTTGCACGCATTCACTAGCCTCTTTGCCTAAGTCACCGTCACCAAACTCGTCTCCTGTGGAAAAGATGCCGAACGAAATATGTTTACTCGTCATCCTTGGTGAACGTATACTTCTGGGCCCGTCTATCATAGACCGTATACCTATCCTATAAATAAGGATTGTCCAGTATCACTTGGCAAACATCCAACTGAATGACGTCGCATGTGACCTCATCAATATACGACTCATAGAGTGCAAATCTGAAAGTACACTGGTTGACCACACTCAATCCCGTCTTCTTCTGAATCCACCCTAAAGGATAGAATTTCGGATGTTTGACCGTCTTCAATCCCAGCTTCTGAACCAAGGCTTCGGATATCAATTCTTTTTCTTTTGGCTCCCTGGATTCATATAGCATCAACCAAGCTGGTCTTGACCTGCAACTTCAAAACAAAGAGTTGCTCCCTCGGGTCTTCGTCTTCGGCCGTGGGATGCTTCCCCGTCACAAGGTTGAGACTGCTATTGGGTTCTGTCATCCCGAAAACTTCCTTCGGACCTTGTGCTACCACGTATGCCTTCTTCTCCTCCTTTTTCTCCAACCCCTTCGGCTTCAGATGAGGGTACTTCTCCCAACAACGATCAACTACGTGTCCTGTCTATTTACAGTGATTGCATGTCAATCCTGCCTTCCCTGAATCACCCTTCTTCTCTTCCTTCGGTTGAGAGCCACTAGACTTGCCTCCCGTTTGTTTGGAGTCCCCCTTCGTCTCGTTGCCCTTCTTTTGCCTACCATCAATGACAATGGCCTTCACACTTGCTTCTGCAATGGACTCGACCGTGAACAGCTTCATCTCCTTTCAAATATATTCATTCAGACCTGTCATATACTTCATAAAAATAGAATATTCCTCTGTCGCAATGTTGAGGACCATCGCTTGCTATTGGAATTCTGTCGTATACTCTTGAACGGTCTGGTTGAACCTTTGGCATAATCCGTACCACTTGTACCAACGCTCCTCAAGGAATCCCACCGGGTAGAATTGTTTCCTCAGTAGCTCCTTGAATTTGCTCCACGACACTGTCTTCTTCTCCTGTTTCCAATAGGATTTCCACCATGTCAATGCATGCCCCGAAAGCTTCAAAGTCACGAACACGAGTTTCTCCTTGGATGAATATCTGTAAAGGGTAATATACGTCTCCATCCGCTCGATCCAATCATCGAGCCTCTCGACGTTGACACTCCCATCATAAACAGGAATCTCCTTCTTGAAATCTATTTTCAAATTCTAGTAAGAACCTTTACCCCTTTGATGTGGAACAGTCTTGACAATTTCGACCTCCTCTTCAGAATCAGATTCCTCGTCTTCCCCATCGGACTTTACAAGTCTCTTCTTACCTCTCGAAGAAGATTCCTCCTTTTTGTCTTTTCCTTAGAAAAGATTGACGAGCTGTGTGAGATTCAAACCCAATGCCTCCATCTGTTTCTCCAATGCATCTAGTCTTGCTGAACTATCCTCTTCAGTCATCTTCTTCTTCATTAATCTCTGAACTCCTTCCAAAAAAATAAGGATCTCGTCTAGCTTCTTGTATTGCGATCGAATAAGGACCATACACAGGACCCCCCTTTACAGGATCTAATCGCTCTGATACCAACTTGATACGAGTCGCCAGACGAGCACCTTTGATCGCGAAATTATCAAGAGTGGGGTGTGAAGAAGATAAAAAAAACACACAAGAATTGAGTTGGTCCAAGGAAAATACATTCTCTTGATTATGAGAAATAATAGACTTAGTTAAAAATAATAATAGACTTAATTATAAAGGTGTCGATGAGAACTTTAAAATGAACCCAATATTAATAATGCAATACAAAATAATAATACTAAAATAAATTAATCTTAGTTTCATTTTAAAGATATCAACGAGGCCTTTCCAAATATATAATGATTTCAAACATTAGATTAATAATTTTTTAACTATAATTATTTGAAATTAAACATCTAATTTAAATTACTAAGAATGAAGGCAAAATAATTTTTAAGAAATTAAATAATTAAAAATAACAATTATAATTAATAAAACATGAATAGTATTTTGGAGACTCCAAATTTTCTTTCACCCTCCAAATTTGAGTGGTTGGAGAGGTTTCACTCTCCAAATTTAGAGATTTTGCCTTTTTCGAGACCGGTTGGAGATGGCCTAAACAATGGCTACTGTATGTTACATAAAGAAGATCAAGATCATACGTCAACAAGGACACGAGCTTACGCATGAGCTATTGAATTAGCCAAACCTATTCAACCGATAGGCATGAATCATACGTAGCATGAGATAAACGAACTTCAGTTATTTCTGACTTTGGTCAATGAACCATAACGAGCTGCCGTCAATAAGCCTAATAGAATGAACCAACTAACTACTATAAATAACGAGATACTACCAATATTTGGATAATGGGACATGCTTCGCTGCACAGCGAATGATGGTTATAACGCGCGGATTACAACTCGACAAACATCAAACCAGAAAATATCAAGCACGTATGACACAAGCATATAAATCCTAATAACAGACTGCTTTTCAAATAGCAAAATTCAAATATACAGGAGTAAGATACCTATTTATGAAACATAAAACCTAAAGATAGCAAGCAAACATACAAAGCAACCAAAGAAACATCCAAACAATCGAAGAAGATGCACATAAGTTTGTTGCGACCGAGATTATTGACAGAAATGGCTTCACAATACACTACATACCACATAACCACTACTGTAATATATAAGCGAAGTTGTCATAGAATAACTATGAATATCCAAAGAAGCAACACAAGCAACAACTACAAAATCTAAATGTTTTAGCAACCCTAAGACATAAAATTCAGACGAAAAGTCTCTCTCAGTACGCATTAAGATAATACTGACAAAATTCTTAAAGCAACAAAAGAAGATTTTAAAGAAATAGACCAAAACGATAGCGAGATTGATGAAGACCATAGTGCCTACTGAGAAACTCCGAGCCACTTAGAGAAGTTCTCAAATTCAGCATAGTCACTGTCGGTGATCATTGTCTTGTACCATGCTTTGCCTGCAGCCTTGATCTTAGCAGCTTCCTCCTGCCAAAGAAATAAAACAAGAAATGTAAGTCAAATCTTAAACTAAACTCAGAAGCAAGTTGACAATACACTAGACTTCTTAACAAACCATATGAGCCAGCTCTTTGGAGAGAAAATGAGAATGAAACTTTCTAATAGATCATGCCTGGATGCAAGACAAATCTAACAAAGAAGGTATAGATATTGATGACGATTCACAAGCAATGTTAGGTTTGAACACTAAGCTATGCCAAGCAGATACTAAAAAAACTTCAAAGAGCTAGTATCACTGATAAGTGTCTTCAGTTCTGTCCTCGTTAGATTTACTCAAAACATACTAGTTCAAGCCACAATATTCTTTACAATGGCATATAATTAGACAAAATAACATCTAGATTATAATCATCTTTATCAATAAAATTCTGTCCAATTCTATAATGCATTCCTATTGTTAATAAGGTTTAGGAAAATTAGACAATTGAGTTTTTCATAAAATGAATTCCCATGGGTGAATATAAATTATCAGTTATAGAAGATCTGAACGAGAATAAGTGATCTGCATAGAGATAACTACAAACATAAACATCAAGGATTAGTAGGTACAAATAAACAAAAATACATTCTCAAATCAATAGAAACCTAAACTCAGAAGTCACGAACTGAAACTATCACTGAATATATTAACAAGGAATGTTAACATAAATCTAAATTAACCAAATAGTATTCAAGAAAAAAAAACCCATCAGTATAATAAAAAATCAGGACAAATACCAGTAACAATGTTAGAAACAACAAATGAAGGCTGTGAATACGCACATCAATAAAAAGGATAATAAAATAAAAATTCTAAAGATATACTATGGCAATATTAACGAGCAATTACTTGAAAATAAACACAGTAAAATAATCACCAATCACCAATATAAGAGGAAAAAATGTTTAGAGAAGTTTACTATTTATATTTAGTAAAAGACGGTATCATATAGGACTAGCCAAAATGAAGGTAAAGTTTCCCCACACACATAAATAGTAAAATACAGTATCGTATAGGACTAGCCAAAATGAAGGTAAAATTTCCACACACACACACACATAAATAGTAAAATACAGTATCATATAGGACTAGCCAAAATGAAGGTAAAGTTTCCACACACAAAACACACACACACACACAACACACATATATATATAAAGCACTAGCAGAAATGATGCACAATAATAAAAGTATCACACAAAATAACCAAAAACAATAACATCACCCAGAATCATATATAATAACTACATTATAACGTTCAACAAATAGATCACTAGGCATCTAACAATCCGCTCCATACACATTGAACATCTAGACAAGCTAAAGAAAACTCTATTAGAATAAATTTTGATAATGGAAGTCTTCTCCTCTATAATATTTTTAAGTATTTGTAGTATGCATAAAAATAGGATCTATGATTACTAAGCATCTGAAACAAGCTAACAATCCACTCCATACACATAGAACATCAAGACAAGCTAAAGAAAACTCTGTTAGAATAAATTTAGATAAATGGAAATCTTCTTCTCTCTAATATTTTGAAGTATTTGTATTATGCCTAAAAATAGGATCTATGATTAATTCAGCCACTCAAAACAACAAGATAACCTTGTGAAAGTAAAATTGAGGCCATAACAATAGAAACCACTACTAAACCACCCACGTTATAGTGTGAACATGAACAACCATAATAATAATAATAATTTAAAATAATTTTAACCTAAATAAACAGTAATATCAAAAACTATAATAATAAGATAAAGCGAGCCCTACTATCAACTAATAATAAGTTGATATCAATACCTTGGGCAGCTTGCTCCTCTTTCTATCCAGCTTCTCCTCCTTCGCCTTAACCCTCTGCTCCTCAGCAAGCAACGACATTCTCCTTGCAGTCTTAGCATACGGGTTCAACCTCAGCATGGCATTCAGATTCTTGAGTGGATTCTTCTTCAAAGTCCTCCTCTTCACCTCCTTCGTGATCGGCCTCACCACAGACTGCACCTCATCAGAGTTGATAATCCTTCCCAGATCCGCATTCGTCATCTTCGCCCTCGGCAAAACATACCCATTCTTCTTCTCGGATGACTTCTCAAATGTCCCAAACACCGAATCAAGCTTCTCAAATGCGGACTTGGTCCAGATTATGAACCGGCCAAGGTGACCACCAGGGGCAAGCTTGAGAAGGTTGAGGCGCTCAACATTGGCCACGTCAACACCCGGAATGTTCCGGAACGCTTTCACGATCTTCGAGCCCTCGGTTCCGTAAACAATCAGCGGGCCTTTTCGAGAAATGTACCTTCTATTCCTCATCTTCCCCTTCCCGGGCCTGATACCGGTGCTATCCTTCGCCTTCTCGGCGTCGTCAAAAGCCCCGATCTGCTTCAGAGCCTTGATCGCCGCCGAAGTCTTCTCGATCGACTCGATCGAGTCAGAAACAACGAGCGGGAGCTCCGGAACGTTCTCGATCTCTCGGCGTCGTCAAAAGCCCCGATCTGCTTCAGAGCCTTGATCGCCGCCGAAGTCTTCTCGATCGACTCGATCGAGTCAGAAACAACGAGCGGGAGCTCCGGAACGTTCTCGATCTCTCGGCGTCGTCAAAAGCCCCGATCTGCTTCAGAGCCTTGATCGCCGCCGAAGTCTTCTCGATCGACTCGATCGAGTCAGAAACAACGAGCGGGAGCTCCGGAACGTTCTCGATCTCTCGGCGTCGTCAAAAGCCCCGATCTGCTTCAGAGCCTTGATCGCCGCCGAAGTCTTCTCGATCGACTCGATCGAGTCAGAAACAACGAGCGGGAGCTCCGGAACGTTCTCGATCT